AAAGATAATACTGTAAGTGTGCTTATCGGATATGGTAATGGCACCTTCCAAAATCAGACTACATTTCCTACTGGCTATAATCCATTTGCAGTAATCGTCGATGATTTCAACAATGATACACGACTAGATTTTGTTGTTACTAATAGTGACAGCAACACCATCAGCATTTTTCTAGGATATGGTAATGGCAATTTCAAAGAACAAATGGTATTTCCTACCGGTGACAGCCCACTCTTCTTAGCTGTCGGTGATTTTAACGGTGACACAATATTAGATATTGCCATTACTAATATTGCTGATGGGAGTATTAGTATACTTCTGGAATATGGTAATGCTTCTTTTGAAAATCAAATGATCATTGTCACACAATCTTCTCTTTTTGCCATAACGGTTAATGATTTTAACAATGATACATACTTAGATATTGTCGTCACACATACATATGTCGCAGTTGATTAGAGAATTTAGTTGAGATTGGAATCGATATAAATACAAAAATAAAATCTATATCTATATTTCTAATTTATAGAGAAGAAAGTAGAATCGGTAAATGTGTAAGTAATTATTTCAGAAATAATAGATAAGTTAAATTTTTGTCTGAAAGATAGAGTAAAAATATCACTGATTTAAGATATATTATTAACTTCAAAGAAAAGTTTATATAGAATATACGGAGAAAGTAATATGTTGCTTATTTATCTTTGTTTGATTATACACGTATTTTTTTATAAAGGGGACATGCAGGACTTTGAATTTTATTTTGAAAAAAATGAAGTTTCTTTTTTTCTTCTAACTAGATAGATTTTTTTTCTAAACGGGACATGCGGGACATTGAAATTTCTATTAGATAAAAATAGAGAATTCCTTCTTTATTTATAAGATAGATAGATTTTCTTTCTAAGCAGGACACGCGGGATATTGAATTTTATTTTGAAAAAAGTGAAAGTTTCTTTTTTTATTATAAATAGACAGATTTTTTTTGATCAGCGGGACATGCCGGACATTGAAATTGGTATTAGATAAAAATAGAAAATTTCTTTTATTCTTATAAATAGACAGATTTTTTTTCTAAACGGGACATGCGGGACATTGAAATTTGTATTAGATAAAAACAGAGAGTTTCTTTTTTTCTTATAAATAGATAGATTTTTGTTTTGATCAGCGGGACATGCGGGACATTGAAATTGGTATTAGATAAAAATAGAAAATTTCTTTTATTCTTATGAATAGATAGGTTTTTTTTCTAAGCGGGACATGTGGGACATTGAAATTTGTATTAGATAAAAATAGAGAATTTCTTTTTTTCCTATGAAATAGATAGATTTTTTTCCTAAGTGGGACATGCGGGCCATGAAATTTTTTGTTTTAATCATATTATTCCAAAAAGGTGTTATCGACCAGAATGACCGACAGTCGTGTGACAATTATTAATTTTCTCATACATGTTTTCTAGTGTTATCAATGGCAAATTAGATTTTTTATTATCTATTAAATTGGTTGATCCGATTTTCATTAAACAAAATGTATGTCGAATCCAGAATTTAAATTTTGAAGACACATCTACATCTTCAGAGTTTAAAACTTTCATCATTTTGTAATACATGTCATTGTTAATCGTATATTTTTCTCTTCTTTTTTCATCAAGATTATTGATGTATGACTTTAATTTCGAAATAAATATTTCCATGAAATTTAAATTTGATAATTTAAAATGAAACAACACATGAAATAACTTAATTAAAAAAGTTATCATAGCGATATCACTAAATCTTCGTTTCGTAGGAAAGAATCTCTACTAAGAAAACATAAAAGGGACAAATGATGGTGACACATAGATTTCATGCATAAAAATATTTTCGAATACAAGCTTTTATAAATTGTTTATTTATTAATATCAATCTAATACAATTTTTATAAACATCATCTATATATAACTTTACAAATACAAAAAAAAAATGAAATAGTCTTTTGTAAAAAGAAAATAGTATGAATATCATAATTTTTATAAAAAGGCATTCATAATATTCTAATAATACTCAATTTGAATCAAATAGATTTATTGATGAAGAAAACGATTTTATTTCTATTCTCTCTTTTTTTTTCTATTTTCAAATCTCTATTTAGGTTTAATTTTATTTTCTCTTTTTTTTCTATATTTTTTTTTCGCGCATTCCAAACTCAACTAAATTCCCATGTCAACTGTGACATATACATCAGTTTGTACGCGATGGTGGCGTTTCACAATCTTTGACGGGTACAATCATTGAACATTTTTCTTCTTCACTTTTTGATTGTTGTAAATCATTTGACGATTGAACTTCATGTTGATCAGTTTCATTTTTTTCGATCTGTTTTTCAGATACTTTCGGAAAGGATTCACTTGGTAGATGCACTACTGTATACCCAGTCATATTTGATAACTAAACAAAATAAACGATATTTTTACTTTAATAA